GGTAGGGCGGGGCCACAATAGGGAATCGAAGTTTTACATTGAAATACATAAGAAAAATCTTTAAAAATCTTCTTCTCAAGAACCACTGGGCCAGAAAAGCTGAAACTTATATGGAAGCATCCTGGGGTAGTGTAAATTCTAAATTGTTCAGATCATGACCCCCGGGGGTAGGGCGGGGCCACAATAGGGAATCGAAGTTTTACATTGAAATACATAAGAAAAATCTTTAAAAATCTTCTTCTCAAGAACCACTGGGCCAGAAAAGCTGAAACTTATATGGAAGCATCCTGGGGTAGTGTACATTATAAATTGTTCAAATCATGACCCCCGGGGGTAGGGCGGGGCCACAATAGGGAATCCAAGTTTTACATTGAAATATATAGGCGAAATCTTTGAAAATCTTCTTCTCAGGAACCACTGGGCCAGAAAAGCTGAAACTTATATGGAAACATCCTGGGGTAGTGTAGAATCTAAATTGTTCAAATCATGACCCCCAGGGGTAGGGCGGGGCCACAATAGGTATATTAAAAGGGGGAAATCTGGTAAAGAACAGCATGGCCAAAGTTACTCAGGTGAGCGATGTGGCCCATGGGCCTCTTGTTGTTTTTTGTTTTTTTTTTTGTTTTTTATACTTCTATCTTAAGACGGGACATGTTATGTTATGGCAATCAAGTCCAACCGTCTGTCTGTCTGTTAGCTATTTCAAGTCTGGCTCATAACCTTTTTATACTATTAGGCCTAGAATTATCAAACTTTGTCATATGATGCATCTTGGGTAGAAGGTGTGTTGGACATTAAAAGTAGATTGCTGAGACCTTTAATTAAGATGCTATGGCTAAATATAGAAAAATCCTGTCCAGCTCATAACTAGAAAACTATTAGTCCTAGACTAATCAAACTTGGTCAATTAATGCATCTTAAGTAGAGGGTGTGTTGCATGATTCCTACTTTAAGGTCACTGTGACCTTTATTTGACCTCTAATTGTAATTGATAGTTGGTGGTGCATTTTATTTTTTTAAATAATTTTTACAAAAGAAGACTTTAGTTCTGTTAATAAATTAATATATTGCTTATCAGATTTTGAATTCTGATGAAAAGTGCTGGTTGTTTATGTAGAAAAATCTTTTATTAGGGCCCCGGAAAAATTTGCGGGTGCTCTATAGCAATCCGACTGTATGTCCATCTGTCATTCTTCCATCAACAAATTTTCTGTATATACGAATGAATGCCAGGGCAAAGAGAGATAACTGCTGAGAATGTTACCATTGTAAACTATGAAAGCTGCAATGAGTCCCTTGGGATTAATTAACTTTCCTCTTGAAGAAAATCCAAAGCAATATCTTTATCTGTCACATTGAAATAGTTAACACATCTGTCTGCAAATGAAGTTTGTTTTAAAGTTAAGGTCAATTCTGAGTCATGTTTACATTCTCTGAAATGTGGATTTAAATAATGTTTATACTTTTTTGGTTAAAATACACAATGATCGAGTTATGATTTTATAGAATTCTAAAAACAAAATATAGATAAAGATATCTTTTTCATTATTATTATTTTCTTTCTTTCTTTTCTTATTTTTTTTTTTTATTAAAGAATACTATTAATTTTAACAGGTAGTCAGATAATAACCTCATTCTATCATTGCTGAAAAAGTTCTTAATTAACGTAAACTTATAGAAGAAAAGGATGAGAGAGCAGTACAATTAATACCCTGGGATTAACTATTTTGTCTGCTGCAGAAAATTTAGAGGCTTATCTTTATATGTGACTTTAAGCCTAGTAGTGCTGAACCCGGAATATTTTGGTAAACAAAGCCATGTGCTGTGAGCTGACCCTGGAATATTCCGGGTGACAGCAACGATATTTTTAAACCGCTGTTTTAGGCGGCCAATGGAAATTCTGTCTAATTACATGTAAAGCACTTTTCTTATTTGGTATTATGTTTGAATGAATAAAAAATTCCATTACTTAGATGAAATGTGATTGGTTGTGTAAATTTAGACAGGTGAAAAGGTCATGTTTATTCCGCATGATTCAAAATGGCAGCATATTCAAGAAAACAATTTTCAATGTGCTAGTAAACATGTTTAGAGACTAAAATCGTGGTAAAAAACTTGATATATGTTTACTACAAGATGTTTTCGACATTTTCTAAGAAGAAGATAATGCTAAACATGTTTTAAATGTGAAATTTGCTATACGGTGATCGGCCCATGCCAAGGTTGCATTCACAGGTGTAGACTTTGATATGTCCGAGTTAAAAACGATCCTAAGTATTTTATTTCACATAAACTCAACAGAAATAAAGACAATCATATCATGACTAATGAAAACAATAGTTTAAAGAAGCCAGATTAAGAGAGAAATACGGCAAATGTCGAGATTCCACATCAAGGTAAAATCAATAATGGCGGACACCAACTTTTGACGAAGGTATTCAATCTTATGATGTGACTATTACACAAACGTTGAAAAGTTGTACCAAAACTATGTCCTTGTATTAAAAATTATCTTTATTACCGTCAGTAAGCATCTTAGTGAATAAAAGTTTAGTCCCATGAACAAAAAGTTGTATTTTTATAATATATTCGCTTTACCTGTTTTTACCTATTTGTTTACGCAAAGAATGAAAACTGGCTATCAAAATATTGAAGTCCTATCTCTACTGAACATTTTGATGTATAATATTTCTATGTTTTTTCAATAAAATCTGAATTAAATTGCTTAAACAAATGCACCCCAACACAGGCAAAAATATTCAGCTCATAGCACTAACACTGTGTATTTTATATAGCGCTACTAGGGTGATTAATTGACACCTTTGTCTGCAACTGTTGTTTGCTTTGAAGTTAAGGTCAAGCAGGGCTAGACAAATAGCATTGCTCAAAGCCTGGGACAACCAATTTTGTTTGATGGGCAAGTTATTTGATAAGCGGTACCTACCCGAGGACAAGTGCTTTTCTAGTTGACGAAAAACAATAGACTCAAATGTTGTTTATTTTACCGCTGTTAAAATATAATGAATCACAGCAGAACATCTGTTTTCGATGTAGCTGACAAAAACATCGAATACTTAGTTGGAACTCCTCTAGAATTAAAACATTCATGTGTTGTTCAAATTTGCACAAGACGTAAAACATGGCTGGTATCGATGTCATGACAAAAAAAGTTGAAGAGGATTTACATCTTTTGTTGTCAAAATGTAAAATTCTATTCTGTGAATACATGCCATACAAACACATGTTTCTGTTATTAAATTGGAAATGTTGAATGGAACACACACAGTCATGAAGTCCAACCCTCAATCGACAATCAGTTTTTTTTTAATAATAAAATAATGTACATGTAGATATTATTTTTTGTTTTCATTTAAATAATACAGAGAAATGTGTATGTACATGTACATATACACTTTGACATTAGTGTTGCAAAATCGGACCAAATTTACTATTGATTATCAAATTGAATTGGTAGCATACAATTGATTATATGACCAATAATTTGAACTTTAACTTAAAGAATAAATTTTAAAAAAGTTAACTTTAAAATATTTAGATATCCTCTGAAATGAAAACGATATTTCAATAAAAATCTGTGAGATCAACTTCAATTAATGCTAATGGGAAAATTTGTCCGCCATTCGCAAGAAAAATAGAGGAACATCCGTTGATAAAGATCAAAGATAAACCACTTGCTTTAAAAAATATATTTGAAAAAAAATAAGCGACTATCAATTTTAAAATTTTTAAAGATCAAAGATAAACCACTTGCTTTAAAAAATATATTTGAAAAAAAATAAGCGACTATCGATTTTAAAATTTTCTATTGCTTGTCTCCGACGTTGCCTTCAGCGACAATTTTTTATATCGTTGGCGACTATCATAACAACACTATTTGACATGTATTTAAAATTTTAAGTTTAATAATCAATGTGCACTGCACATGCTTTGAAGTCTCCCTTGAATTAGAAATTTCCCCCTAAATTTCTCTGTGGGAGAGTTAAGTGATTTGGGATCTCGGTGGGTCCTAAATTCTAATGATAATGCTTTCATTTTGTGTGATTTAAGAAAAAGGTGGGACAAGCATATTTTTTGGTAGGACAAGTAATTTTTACGATGGTAACCTGTCTGAGGGCAAATACTGCAAAATTCTATTTGTCTGCCCTTTGGTCAAGTCTGGGTAATATTTTCATTCACTGGAGGCTGGCATTTAAAAAAACACATCCTTCATTCTTGTTTAAATATACATTTAACTGAGTTACTATATATGATGTTTTTTATTGCCTTATATAAATACAAGGATACTATTTACAGGCTATTGGATGTTTAGGAATTATCTTGAAATTTTACTTATACAGTTGCTGTTGCTTATTCTTCTTTATATATTTTATAAATTTTTTGTAATCAATTAAAATTCTCATTCCTTAAGCTGCACTCATATTTCTGTCCCTTGGCGGGGCTCTTGTTGACTGGTCAGTTTTCTAGATAAAAATAAAAAGACTGTCCCTGCATCAGTTGCTAACAACTATGAGGGTTGTTTGTGAGAAGGATGTTCTTCATACTGCAGAGACCATGAAACCACAGATAATTTATTTAAATGCTTGCATTGCTTGTGTAGATTTAACTTTGCGTCAGTCATGGTGTTGATCAATGCTATGTTTTATTCTGATAGCAAGGATTATTAAGATACTGTGTAAACACTAATTTTCCTGTTTGTTTAATTTTCGTTGTTTTCAATGTTTATGAGATCCACAAATTCATGACCTCCACAAATGTATTTCAAATATGAAGACTCAGCATTTCTTCATCCATGAAATAAATCCTTAAGAATCAGTATATTTCATCAACCCACCAAAATTTGATCCCATGAAAATATGTGATAATACAGTATCTACCAAAGTGGTTAATTTTTTCTCAAATAGTTAGAAGAAATAGCTTTCAAATAGTTTGAGTGATTAATTCTGATTTATTGTCAAGCCATTAATATTTCTTTCTTACAGCTCTTTTTGACGATGTTATATGTCTCATCCAAAGATATCTTTTTTCTGATTGAGATGGAAGGATTTGGATTTGCTTCTGTTCTAACCATGGTGTTTGCAGGACAGATTTATCTGAGGTACAGGGAACCCAATATTCCTAGACCTATCAGGGTAAGACCCACAACCAAAGGAATTCATAGTAAATAGGTTTATATATTGTATGTTGAAAATTGTAAAATTGTTCTGTCTAATCCAATATATTTACATCCACTGAAGATTTTCTCTTTACCACTTCTTATGAAAACCACTTTTTTCATCAATCAGTAACACTGGTAAACTAGGAATAGAACTGGCATTTCAAGCCACCTGTATAGATTTCTTTGCAGTTGATTTTCAATCGGTGAAACACAGAGTGATGTACATATCAACAATACAATTATATTTAACATACTAAAACCTTAATGTGATTATTTATACAGACATAAATCTAAAAAATGTATTTCTTTGTTTGTTAGTAGAGGAATTGACAGTTGCAGCTTATAATCAAGGGAAAAAAATTGCATTTCTTCAATAATCATGATAATGCAGATTTGTTTATGAATTTCAGTGATATCACAAAATAGCTTAATATCCTGAATGGAAATATGTGTAATATCAATACTTAAGGAGTAGGGTTACAGTCTTGTCAGAGACTTTTGGTTCTTAACTTTGAGATGGCCACTACAGACTTTGGATGCATAAACTGTATAGGGGTAAAATAACTCACGGTGTAAATATTCGCTATATTCACAGTGTAAGTAAATCTGTGAATTCAAGAAATGGTGAATAAGTTTTCAATAATTTTTTTTTTCTAATTTAATTATGAGGGTTGTTAGAAAAGTAAGAGGACAAGTTTCATTGCCAGTGTGCTATTTTCACGAAACCAGTAAAACTGTGCAGATAAATACTATATGTATTTTTTAATAAATATGTAAAGATTTGGTGTTTTCCGATGATCGTTAAAAAATGTACAGCTATATTATTTAGATAAAACATGCTTCATGGAGCATGTCAGTTTTTCGCACGTTTACATTACATAGAAATTTTTTGGAAATTAAAAATTGTACTGTTATAGCGCATAAAGATTTATAATATTTCACATGTTGCTACAATATTCATGAAACAACATCTGGTGAAAATTTGAGTTAAATTGGAGGGGTTAAGACTGTTTTATTGCTAATTATAGATGATCAATGCGTAAAAACAAAGTCAAGAATGGCGATGTCATTAATCATGTTGGAGCACCAAGCTATTGAAAAATTATGTGTGCAAACAGGAAAATGCCCAAAAGAGACTAAAATGTTTTTAGATGCTGCTGGGGATTGCCTTCTTGTACCTAGGAATAGAGTGTTCGTTTGTAAGAATGGACTGACATTTTTGATGATCAACTTTTGTGATACCCCAAAAGCCCACATATCGCACGGACATTGCGCCTATGGATTTTGAACTGTTTCCATACCTGATCGCTGAACTGTGTAGACATTTATTTTAAGATCTCGCAAGTATCCAACACACCACAGAAGACTAGCAATAACTTTTAATTACAAGAAAATAATTAAAATCTAAAGAAATTTGCCAGAAATTTAATGGAATCTTTAAGAAATATATTTCTGTGAAGTTTCATACTATTTTATGTCTGAAAGAGCAAATAATAGCTGAGTCCACATAGTTTTTGAATGGCCCTTGTACACCTCTAGTTTATCCATGTTACTGATTGAATAATGCATTGAACAGTGCCCTTTGAGTCATAATCCATCCCTCCCCCTTTTTCCAAATCAAATCTTCTATAGAATAAAGCATTTTGAAAACTTTTCAGATTACCAGACCTAACTGACTATTTTGTCGATCCTAAATCACCTTATTTTTCTTCTTCTTAAGCAATTACCTTCTTCTCTTGGTTTATTTTGCTTTATAATATAATGAATAAATTGCCATTCTATGGATCCTATACAGGGTTATTTTATACTCAGGTGACTGTTAAGGCCCTTGGGCCTCTTGTTTATTGACATGGAAAGAGAAATCCATAGGGTCAAAAAAAAATTTTTTTTTTAAGGATTTTGGTATGATGAAGGCTCTCATGCATGAACTTTTAGGAAAATCTGTTCATGCATGCCAAAAAGTTTAATAATCTCATACATAGATTTCTTAAATCTTTGGCATGGGATCTTACAACCAGCAAGATACAGTTATAAATTTTCTAAACAGATGATGCAAATAAGTCTTTTCCTTTGTGTTTCAGGTTCACATCATTCTTCCAATTATTTTGTTCCTGATAAGTTTTGGAATTATAGTGTTGACGTTTTACCAGAAGCCCAAAGAAAGCTTCATGGCACTGGGCTTGGTTGCAGCTGGTATTTTCTTGTATTTAATTGGAACTTGGAAACACAAACCAAAGGAAATTGCAGACAAACTTCGTAAGTTTTGTTTTCATTTTCTTTTTAATTTTTAGGTCACCAATCACTCAGGTGACTTATTGGTATCTGTTTTCATCCGTTGTCTTGTATTGTGTGTCATACATTTACATTTGAACATTTTCATCTTCTCTGGAACTGCTGCACCAATTTCATTCAATTTTAGCATATAGTATCTAGGGTTGAAGGGGAACAAAAATTATGAATTTCATGGTCCCCAACCCTCTTGGGCTTGAGGGGTGGGGCTAAAACGGTAAAAATTAATGCAATCTCTAAAAACCTTCTTCCTTACTCCTTGACATCAAGCAGTCAAACTGTTGGCCTGATTGTAATGAATATTGAACGTTCTACCAAAATTATGAAATTCATTAATGGCCCCAGGGTCAGGGAAATTGGAGTTGGGTTGGGCTCTATTGATCGTAAAGTGAAAATGCATAAATAAATTTAAAAAGTATCTTCTCGCCTCCTGCATATTAAGCAGACAAAATAAGTGCATGTTTATGATGAGCAAGGGTGCCTTTTTCAAAATTGTGAAATTCATGGCCCATGGGTCAGGGGTTCTTGTGTTAGGGTGGGGTTCTATTGATCATAATATACTGAAAATGCATGAATTATTTTAAATTCTTCTTCTCTGCCCCTGGGTATTCAGCAGAGAAACTAACTGCATGGTTATGATGAGCAAGAGTATTTCTTCCAAAAACTTTGAATTTCATAACCCTTGTCAGAAGTTCTGGTATTTGGGAGGGGCTCTATCTATGTGGTTTTTGGAGACCAGGTCTTCCAACAATCTATTGGGATTTCCATGGGTACCAATTGCACCCTGTTATTAGCAGATCTTTTTTTGTATTCATATGAAGCAGAATTTGTCCAAAATCTTATATGTGAAAAGAAGAAAACACTTGCTGTGGCCTTCAACTTGACATTTAGATATATCGACGACATACTGTCAATTAACAATGGCTATTTCCATTCTTATGTCGATACGATATATCCCGGTGAGCTTGAGATAAAAGATATCACAGAGTCTGACACATCTGTTTCATATTTGGATATTTTACTTGAAGAAGACGTTAATGGTAATCTAACAACCAAGCTTTATGATAAACGTGATGACTTTAACTTTTCAATTGTCAACTTCCCTTACTTATGCAGCAATATACCTTCATCACCTGCATACGGGGTATATATATCTCAGTTGATTCGATACACAAGAGCATGCTCTACGTATGTACAATTTCTAAAACGAGGTAAATTACTGACAAACAAGTTGATGAAACAAGAATATCAGCTGTCTTGTTTAGAGCATCATTTCGTAAGTTCTATGGTCGATACAATGACCTTGTCAGCAAATACAATTTATCATTGAGTCAAATGCTGACTGACGTTTTTCATACTAATTGTTAGGCCATTATTTACACACCGAATTGTCAACCAATTTTTCCGTTATTTCCCGATCATGACAAGGAGCACACGGCGGGTGTGACCAGTTGGCAGGGGATGCTCACTCCTCCATGGCACCTGATCCCACCTCTGATGTTTGGAGGTCCATGTTTGCTCTGCTCCTATTTTGTATTGTTTAATGGACTTTTGAGCTTGAATACTGTTCATTATCTCCATATATTTCATAGTGAAAATACATCACTTTCTTGAAAATCTTCTTCTCTGCTTCTATGTATTAATCAAACAAACTAAGCGCATGGTTGAAATTCCTGGATCCCTTGGTGAGGAGTTTTTGTGTTAGAAAGGGGTTCAATTGATTATATAATGAAAAAGCATTAATTCTTTGAAAATCATCTTCTATGGCACAGGGTATTCAGCAGATGAACAAAGTGTGTAATGAAGATAAGCAAGGTGGCCTCTTCCAAAATTGTGAAATTCTTGGGTTCTGGGTCATGGTTTCTGGTGTGAGGATGGAACTTTTTGGATTATAAAGTGAAAATAAATTGATTGTTTTCAAATCTTCTCAGCTCAGGGTTGTATTTTACTCGGGTGACTGTTATGGCCATTTGGCCTCTTTTTATGCAAGTGGAGTGATCTGCTCCTTAGATCTAAGACTAAATGCAGCTAAACTTCAGTATCCCAAACCAATATCTCAAATACTATGGATATTGGAAGGGATTTGGAAGTCCCAAGCACTTTTTCATTAATGAAATGTGGAGATAACAAACAGTAATCAGGCTCAAAAGTTCATTGAAACAATACAAATTGGGAGCAGAGCAAACATATATATATATGTGAAAAAATCAGAGGTGGGATCAGGTTCCTTGGAGGAGTAAGCATCCCCTGTTGACAGGTCACACCCACTGTGTGTTCCTTGTTTTGTTCAAGCAAATGGAAAAATCCATAAATTCAGTATGTAAATAATGGCCTAACAATTAGTGTGAAAAACGTCAGAATCGAATTGTATCAAATCAACTGGGAGACATAAACCTTATAAGGGTTTATTGCTACATAAGTAAGGGAAGTTGATGATAGAAAAATTGAAATCATCACGTTTATCATAAAGTTTTCTTGTTAGGTTACCATTAATATCTTTTTCAAAGTAAAATATCCAAATATAAAACAGATGTGTCAGACTCTGTGGTATCTTTTATTTCAAGTTTGCTGGGATAGAATTTTTACCCTAGGCTAACTTGAAGTTTTTCCTTGGTTCCATTGAGTTTGGTTATGAGGTTTCACTGTAAATTGAAATCTACAGCATTTTACTGAATGTTTTTCATAGTATTGTTAGTACATGTCTAATATTTGTTTAAATATTTGACAGATTCCATCAATATCTTCATTCAGAAGTTGCTTCTCGTAATGCCGCCAGATAACTCTGATGACATCGACTGGGAATAACAACTTCCTTATAAAGGGAAAATTAGATACATCATGAACAATGACCAGAGTTTAAGAATAAAAGGATTAAAATTTTAGATTTTATAGAACATTGAATGCATTTAAGATTTTTAAAAAAAATAATTGATATAAGGAAATACATGTACTCAACAAGTTTGATCTGGTAAAAAATGCATTTATTTTTGCGTGTTTTATGCTTTGTGTGCAGATGTTTTAAATGTTTATATATCACTGCATAAAAATGTTGTAAATTTATTGCTTTGAAATAATTTTGATGTTTTAACTTCATAACCCTATTAGGATATACATGTACTACTTTTTTTAGGTCACCTGAGTCACTCAAGTGACCTATTGCTATCTGTTTTCATGTCGGTCAGTCATAAACTTTTGTACATATTCAGCTTCTTCTCTGCAATGGCTGAACCATTGTCAAACAATGTATTCCATCTATAGGTAAAGGGGAATAAAAATACAAATTTCATTGTTCTGCCTCCCAGGGACCTGAGGGGTAGGACCAAACCATTAAAATTAATGCAAACTTCAAAAAGCTTCATCCCTTCTCCAGAAAATGAATCAGGCAAACTGCTTGCATGATTATAATAATCAATAAACCCTTTGCCAAAATTATGAAATGTATTGCCCCTGGTTCAGATGTGAAGGTGGGTCTTAATTGGCCTTAAAATACATTTCATCTTTCAAAATTGTGTTCTTTTCTCATGGACATCTAGCAGATAAACTATTTCCATGATTATAATGAAAACAACCATCTACCTATGAAATTTGTTGCCCCCTGGTCCAAGGTTTAGGCTAAATTGGTCATATATTGAAAAATACATTACTTTGTTAATTTTCTTCACTCGTGAAAATTTAGCTGGAAAACTGCAGTGTTCTAGCCCAGGAGTGAGGTTAAGTTAGTCATTATTGAAAATTAACTACCTTTTTTGAAATCTTCTTTCTCCTCTGTTCAAGGACAAACAGCTTGCAAGCTATTTCCATGATTGTTATAAACACCACCCAATACTGTGTCTGAAATGCATGGCTCCTGGGCCATGGTTCAGGCTCTATGCTCATATATTTGATATACATACTGGTAGCACCTTTGAAATTTTTTTTTACTGGTGGATATCTAGCTAACAAACTGTTTGCATTGATTGTAACTATGTGTAACACAATGCCCTCTTCTAAATTTCATGGTGCATGGTCAGTGGTTCATGTCCCAGGATAGAGCTAATTTGGTCATATATAGAGTACATCTTCATTACTCTAACACTTAGACATGTAGCAGGCAAATATTTTGTATGATTACAGGTTGGGTTATATTAATATGAAAATTTATATCCCCACATGTCCAAGGATCAGACCTCAGGATGGGGCTAAGTTGGTGATACAGTGAAATTTATGACATAGTGTAACATCTCTTTTACTCCTGAATCTCTGGAAGATAGATAAGAAGTGTAATATAGAGTCGTTACCACACTGTAAAATTTTGTTACCAGGTCAGAGGGCAGGTGGGGCTAAATTGGTCATAGCCTCAGAAACTTGTGTTACTCATGGGCCTCTTATTCATAGCAAACATTTACAATGTTTTGTATTTTACCAACTTGCTATAATAAACCAGTGCAGGAGAGCTATTGTTTTAAGTGCCATCCAGCATCTGTTCATTTTCAGGCCAAATACTAAATACAGTTCTTAGATGTATTTGAATATTAGTCCTTTTATGATCAGCATTTACCCTTTGGGTGTGTTCTAAGTAGAAATCTTAATATGTCATAAAAATTCTATCCATATGTAGTACTGTTGTTAAATTTTTTGATGAGTTTCTATTCCTTTTCATGTGGTAAAGAGAAAATTTTGATTCTAAATGCTGAAAAGTATTATCTGCATAAGCAGCCACAGTGGTGTAGAGCATAATAGACTTAGAGCATAATAGATTGATAAAATGTTAAGATGAAAAGTTTTAATGTACCAGTATTAGTGATTTTTTATGTGTTATATGTAGCAGCTTCAGTAGTGAACGTATTTTGAGAATTGACACCTGCTAGTGCTTTCAAACTGCTTACTATTGTATAGATCACCAAATTTTCATGTCACCTTATTTTAGGAAGAATGTTATTTGGTAGTTACATGTATAAGCCAAAAAAAAAAACTTTCACAAATTTTGGTTATTTTTCATGAGAATGTAATTCTAGCAATCAGACAGTCTTATGTAATTAGTTACATGAAAAAAAAGTTCTTGAGACTTGTATAATGAGTGATGTACAGTAAATTAATTTCTCAGGAATGCAGTATTATTTGTCAGTTTTACCTCAAAATATAAAAGGTGAGGTGTTATGAAGTTGAAATTTAAATATTACTATTATTTTAGTTTGAAATGTTGTTGCATTTATATATACACCCTGAAGTTTATGTTAGTGAATCTCTTGTTGGCCAAGTTGAATTAAAATCATGGTGTGCACTCTCTGTAACAGTGCTCTATAGTATGATGATCTCCTTTGTTGTTACTATTGTCTTAAATATCATATTACATGGACAACCTTTGCAGCTTTATACCTTGGCAAATGTACCCCCCCCCCCCCCCCCCAAAAAAAAGTGAAGGTATCATCTCTGGTAAAATTCCTGGAGCAGGTTCAGCAGTAAACCTTATATGAACCAAACTTTCACAGGTGATGCAACTAGAGATGTTACCTACCAGACTTGATTCAAATGTAGCACCTGATCTATTGAATATTTTCTGGATGACCAGGTTAAATGTTTTTGGAGAAGACTAGAAGCCCTACCTCCCAAATAATTATAGGCCTTTCCTAGACCTAAATTCAGACATTTTTAGTTTACCTGAGCTGAAAGCTCAATTGAGCTTATCTGATCATGTATTGTCCAACATCTGTCTGTTCCTCTGTATGTATGTAAACTTTTAACATTTTCCACTTCTTTTGAAACACACGGCCAGTTTTAACCACACTTGCCACATTGGGATTTGAGTTAGTTCAAGTGAATAGTCATGCTTTTAAAAGAGATTAGATAACTTGACCCTTAAGGGTAGTATGGGGCCACAATAGGGGTTCTCAGTTTTTCATTATTAAAAAAAATTGGAAAAGATCTTCCTCTAAAGTACAGTGCAGGCAATAATAGAGGATCCAATTTTTAGATGGTAATATGGAGGAAAAAATCTTTAAAATACTTCTGGAGTAGAATAGTATGCCAATGATTCAAATCATGGTCTCTGGGGTTAAGATCTGACTAAAACCAGAGAAAAAATTTTACTTAATGCAAGTGTACAGGAAAAATCTTCTACAAACAGCAAGACCATGTTAGTCATATTTATATTAAAGCTGTCCCAATATTGTATGGAATTAAGTTCATTTAAATCATAACCCCTTGAGGCTAGGAAGGTCCCACAATATGAAGTTAAAATTTTTGTGAGAATAATGAAAGGGAGGGGATTCAACAGGGCCAAGATGACTTAGATGAGCGTTATGGCCTATAGGCCTTTTGACACTGCTTATTTACGGATAATATTCATCCAGTAAAGATTACCACATTTTCAGTAACCAACCATATATGGGTTTATTATTTATATTTTTTTCTATGTTCTATTGGAAAGAATTTTATGTATCATGATTTTTTTTTCTTGACAAATGTTATCAACAGGTCAACAAAAGACTGACATAACTATTTTGCTGCTGATATTTGCCTATTCATTTCTTTTAGTGTGATATGATTTTGATGACTTTGATTGAGATTTTAATGAATTTCATTTATTCACCGAGGACCTTAAAACAGATTTAGATTATGGTTGTGCTTAGAAAAAAAAAATTGCTTAATTCTTTACACAAACTGATACCTGTTTTATGGACTCCATTACATTGAATTGTAAATAAAACATTGATTAATAATAAAGACTTCTGAACCATAAAAAATATCACAGCTTTTTAAGCCCCCATAATCAAAGATTCAAGGGCATATAAGTAGTTTTTGCCCTGTCCAGCTGTCTGTCTGTCTATCTGTCCACAAAAACTTTAACATTGTCCATAACTTTTGATTGGTTGGAGCTATGGCTTTTGTATTTCATAGGTGTATTCCTTGTGACTTTTCTTTGGGTCCCAACATAATTGACACCTTGACCTTGTGGTTTGACCCACTTTTGCAAAATTTAACCAAACTGTAACCTTGGTTATAACATTTGAACAGTGGGTGCTAGGGCTTGTATATTCCTTGTGACAAGAGGCCCAAGGGCCTTGAATCGCTCTTCTGATAAACTGTACAACCTATCACTTCTATTTGAAGCATCTAAGTATCCTATATATTTAGATAAAGCCTTGAAATTCCAAAGGTAGGTCATCATGACCTACATTTTAGATGAAACACTCTGAAAACCCAATATGATTCTAAGCAAATTAGTACCTGAGAGTAGGTCATGGTGACCTACTTATCACTTGTCATTCTCTGAGGACCCAAGATGCATCAACTAAGTTTGATGATTCTAGGCCAATTAATACCTAAAATATTTAATTATAACCATAAAATTTGAAAAGTAGGTCACAGTGACCTACTTTTCAGATGACATACTTTGAGGACCCAAAATGCATCAACTGACAAAGATTGATGATTCTACGCCAATTAGTACCTGATATATTTAAATAAAGCCTTAAAATTTCAAAAATAGGTCACAGTGATCTCCTTTGCAGTCGACTAACTCTGCAGACCCAAGATGCATCAACTGACAAAGTTTGGTGATTCTAAGCCAATTAGTTCCTAAAAACTAGAAAAATGTCCTTAGGACATGAATGCCCCGCCGAGGGTATATTAGTAATGCAACATTTTAACACAAATTGAGAAAAGTGAGGTCAAGGTCAAAGGAAAGGTCAAGGTGAAAAAATATTGATGCAGTTGAATAGCTTACATCAGTATGTATCAGCATATGAAGTTTGACACTAATTTAAGAACAGTGAGGTCAAGGTCAAAAGAAAGGTCAAGGTCAAAAATTGTTGATGCAGTTGAATAGCTTACATCAGTATGTATTAGCATATGAAG